TTGCTTAGAGGACATTTATTTCTAAGCAATAATGACTAATAAAGTAAAAGTAAAATAGATTTTTATACTTGATTTAAGTTTTTTTGGATGCTTTCTACTTGGATATTATGTTCTTGTTTTAAGAAATCTTACCAAGTCTCATTTGCTTGCTGCACTGGCAGATTATTTTGCTCAAAATAAGCAATTATTTACTTAAAACACTATTTTTTTCTTATTTTTTAGAAGGCATTTTTTGTTGTGTGGGAGACAACATTGAATGTGTTAAATGTGAACATCTACCAACTAAAAGAAGGCTGTATTTTTTTTTTCATAGCCATCTTTAGGACTTTAGGACTTATAAGATGAAAATAATAATACATCTGTTTTTGGCATTTACATTTTTATTTCCTGTAACACAATTGCTTCATGTTAGCAGGGTAGCAATATACTTGAGGCAGGAACTCTCTTCCAACCTGAAGTGTGAAAACCACCTTTTTCCATTGGAGAACCATGGCTTTGAGGAGCTGATCTTTGTCCAGACCTCTATGCACTCAGCTGTGGGAGCCATTAGAACTGTAATCTTCAAAAAGCAGGGACGGAGTCCGTTGTGCCCTGAACCGGACGCCTCCAGCCCTTGGCCAGAAAAAGGTTTGACTGAATGCCAGCAACGCAGACCAGATTCCAGCATAGTTTGTAAAGCAACTGGATGTTTCCCAGTAAAGAGCTCCTGACTCTATACCCCTGGAGCGCCCTTCCCCACAGGGCTGAACAGGTCTTTTGTGGACTTCTGGTTTGAGCAAACTCCAATGAACCCTCAGGTATCCTGCAGAGGGTTTAAGCTGGCCTAGTGTAACATGGCTGGGATTTAAAAGAAAAACACACCGACCAACAACCTAATGGATCTATTTCTTTAAAGTCAAGTAATCAATAAAAGTTGCAGCCATTAATTGGCTTCTAATTCAAACTGGATTTATTAAAGACAACTTTAAAAATGTAGCAACTCAAAACTTTGATGGAGTCTTAAATCCATCCCTGTGGCGAAAATAAACCAACCTATGTAGCTAGATAAGACTCCTCCTTATTCACTGACATTTTCATAGTTTCCTTCTGCTTGGTATGGGAATGAAAAGAATTTGCATATTATAATTACAGCTTATAAATTAAGCCCTGGACTTGCTACAGATGACTGCAGCATCAGCAACTGCTTGCTGTTTTTTATTCAGGGGCTATTTTTCCTCTAAATGCATCCATACAATATATCCCTCTAGTTTAAGAGAAAATAGATAGATTTTTTTTTCTTTAAATTTATTTGAAAGGCTCTGATTAGCTCATATAACAGATGGAGGAATGCCAATAAATAATCATTAAAAGGTGTTAGATGTGGGTGTAATTTTTTGTCAATGCCTAAAACATTTGCAGCATCAAGCCTCAAATTTGCATATTCATAGTCCATACTCTACAGCAGCGGTCCCCTAACCTGACTTTGCCAGATGGATTTGCTCCGCATATCCATCTGGAAACCTTCCGTTGAAGTAATTTTGGGAAGGGGCGAAAATACTGGTTAGCT